TTAGCAAATGGCTGCAATATAACAAAGAGTGAAAAATTTAAGGGGGTCTGAATACTTTCCGTACCCACTGTATATTTTTATTATTATTTAAAAAAATTATTCATTTGTTTACATTTTTTTGTGTTGATGTGTTCAATTATGTTAATCATCTTTTACACATACACAGATTTTAGATTTTTTTTGAGTAATGAGTTTTATGGTTTTCCTTTTCTTTTTATCATAAAATAACGTATGATATCTCTCTGCAACAGGACAACATGGTTCCGAGGTATAAGTGTCACCTTTGTGACAAGACCTTCTCTTGGTGTTACACTCTCACCCTCCACCTTCGAAAGAAGCATCAACTCAAATGGCCATCTGGACACTCCCGTTTTAGGTATGCAATTAATAGTATCTTAAAGTGTATTTAGTTGCTTCTGAGCTAATCATTTGCCTTTGTGTACTACAAAATTGCCTATTGAACAGGTACAAGAAGGATGAGGATGGGTATCTGCGGCTCAACATGGTGCGTTTTGAGACTGTAGAGGTTACGGAAGAGTTGATTAAAAACATGGCTGAAAAACGCACCCCTCGCAAGGTCTCTGGTTCAACCAGTCACTCCAAGGAGCCCATGCTGCATCCCGATAGCGGCAATAGCACTCCCCAGCACTCTTCCTTACCCTCCTCTCCTTCCTCATCTTCCTCAACCTCAGAGCTTCTGGAGGGTACTGACAGCAGTGAATTAAAAGGTGATGAAACATCTGTGTATTGTGTGTTGAACACTGTGACTGAGGTCAGTGGGGATCCAGAGGAAGCGGCCCAGCCCGGTGGGCCATCAGGGGCTGTTAGAGCTCTGGCTGCAGTGGCTAGAGGTCTAGGAATGGATGTGGTATAATCTCATACCTATCAAATGCAGTTTCATCAGAGATAACCTGTGTGAGAATACACAACCTGTTTAACCTCAATAGATTAAACATTTTCCATTAGATCAATGTTTTTATAAACTAAAATGCAAAGTTTAGAGGATGATGTATGGCATCGTCTTTTATTTTAGCATTTTGCTAGTGTTTTATTTTAGGTTTTTACATGATCTCAGGTGTCTTAATACATTTGAAAAATTTTTTTTCTGAAAAACATTAGCACTCTGCAAGTTTTTATTTTTTTATTATTTTACAAAAATTTTACCTTTTATATTTCTAGCTCTGTGTTTTAAAAATGTGACTTTTGCTTTTATTTTTATAATTACCAGGAACAATAGGATGAGTTTTTGAGCGTAAATAGCTATCATCCAATTAATTTGTGTTGATATTTATTTAATATTTTGTGTATTGTGCTGTATTATTGTTCCATTGTTTCCTTGCTATAGTTGTAAATAGTTGTGTATTATTTAAAGTCCTTTAGTTTCAAATATATTGTTAACATTCAAAAAGAACAAGTAAAGTCATTTTTTCTCAGAAGTCATTTTAATATTTTTGTTTTTGGACGAAAAAAAATCATTTCCACCACTGTACATTTCATGACTACACATTGTTTCACATGAAGTGCTTGATATACACGAGTCCATCAGATTCTGATGAAGTCCAGTTCACCGAGTCTCAGTGTGGGTGCGAAACCGGTCTGTCTGTGAGAGGGGTCATCCGTCTCGGAGACCCTGGATGTGCTGCCAGCATTGGGAAAAGTGGGTGTGGTTGGGCGTGTACGTAAGCAGCAGGTAGAGTCCTACTGAGCGAGCTGTAATGTGGGAGCCCTGTGCAGGGGTAAGCTGCCGTGAGGAGTCCTGGAGGCGGTAAGTGAGGATCCAGTGCAGTATGATGCAAAGTCAGTAGGCGGCTACGCTCGCTCTCTTCTCTCAGGAAGGCCAGGCGTTGCCGTTCCTCCATTTGACTCCTTTGCTCCAGGACCATGGACTGCAGAAATGGCTCTCGTAGGTAAGCAGGGTGTCCCATCATGGCACGTTGCAGGGGGTCGGTTCTTATTAAGAGGTCCTTGCCCAAGGAGTCCCTACGAGGAAGATCTAAACCCCGGTAAACATTCCGCATAGACTCCCAGTGTTGAGGCGAGTAAGGCAGCCTTTCGGCACCAGGTAATGGACCCATTCCCAGAAAAGGTGACACCAGCCTAGTTCTGTCAAGACCAGGGTGGCCAGCTGGGATTCCTATTGGCAAAGGAAGAGTTGAAAGAGGTGAAGGGTTAATAGCAGGGGCTCTGGGATCCTGCCATGTTTTTTCTGAAACTTTATGGTGTGTTGTAACCTCATGGTCCTGGTCGTCTCTCTTCTCCTCCTTCACTCTCACCTTGCTGCTTTTGGCATGGGGTTCATACTCGACTCTAATCTTCTTCTCAGCTGGCTCCCAGGGTTGGCTATCACTGTTTGGCCGTTTGAGATCCTCTCTCTGCTGCTTGGGTGATGAACTCTCCTTTCCTGCTGGCTTGTCATCAGTGGGCTGCTGCTCGCTTTTCACATCCTTTTCTCTTTTGTCACTTTGGATCTCTTTGTGTTTTTGCTCCTCAGTTGCTCGAGTTTGTTGTGGAAGCTCTTGGACTTGTCTTTTCTCTCTTGCCTGGTCCTCTTCCTTGGGCTCATTTGGAGAGGAACTTTTCAAGGACTCTGTTGGTTGTTTGTTGTCCAGTGCACTATTTCTGATGGGGGACAAATGCCGTCCATTTGATTTCTCTTTTGGTTCCCTGCAATGATTGAAATAAAACTATCTATTTGAACTCTTGATCAGGAGGTCAACTCCAAGAATTCTTGATCAGGTAGGTTACCTAGGACCAGGGGTCTCCAGTCCTGCTCATGGAAGCTAATGTCCTGTGGAGTTTTATCTCCAACCTGCCCCAAACTGACCTGCCTAGAGGTTCCTTAAGTAATCCTGAAGACCTTAATTAGCTGGTTTAGGTGTTTAATTAGGATTTAAGCCAAACTCTGCAGGACAGTGGCCCTCCAGGAGCAGGATTGGACACCCCTGGCTTAGGCAGTTAGCCCCTGCTAAACTGTTATGTGGGCAAATAAATAAATAATTGCAGAAAGTAATTCGTTAGCATTTCCAACTGTTCAATAATAGTTGCTCGGCTAGTGCAGGACTCCTTGGAAGTGGAAGTACCCAATTTGAAAATCTTTCCAGAACTAAGTGCTCATGAAGCAAATATGGCAGCAACCTGGTCACAGACTTTTGGGGATGCACATGCTGACTGAGCAACTGTCATTGAGGTGAAGGGAAATGTTAATGTATCACGTTCTGCTTGTACCTTCTTGCTCTTGACAGACTAGCAAAATAGCTGGTATGTACCTTTCCTTGTCATCTTTGTTCTCTAGGGAATCTCTCTTATTTGCTGCTCTGTCCGATATGGAGGGAGCTCTCTCGGTTTCAGAAGGCCTTGAACACAGAGAGGGCGTCGGGAAGGATGAGGGCGTCTGGTGCAGTCTGTTCCAGGGCTCTAGTGGTCCACTTGAAGTTGGCACCGTTTTACCATCTTTAGTCCCATGTGCTGCATTTGGTGCTGTGAATGTAATTATCGTCAGTCAGAGGAAGATTACATTTTTTTAACCTACAGTAGAAGCAGATCCTTTCATGACAGGATAAATGATGTCCTTACTTAGTGATGTGTTTCCTAGTCCTCCAAAGGCAGATGAACTCAGTGTACTTAGGCCTCCAAAGGTGAGTGGCTTATTAAGAGCCTCTACACAACAACAAGGAATACGTGAGTTTAGATTTTGGGCAATAATGTGGATCTAATATGAACTGAATTCTGAAGTCAGATTTAATCTTACCATGATGGGGGACTACACTGTGGAGATTGTTTGGGGTGTGCGGTAAGGATCCATAGGTCGAAACTGAAGGGTGTGTGGGACCTAACAAGACATGCAGATACTGGTGAGCACAGTCCTGTTTCTGTCAGACTTCCTCTTATAAAGCTTATAAAATTGATGTTTTATATAATCAGAGGACACTGCTCACTGATATCATGGGCATTCATTAATGTTGACACTGACAGTAGTACCTAACCCTAACCCAGTCCTGTTCCTGGAGGACCAGCGTCCTGCAGAATATAGCTCCAACCTGCCCTAAAATACCTGGAAGTAATCCTTCAAGTAATCCTGAAGTCTTTGATTAGCTAGTTCAGATGTTTAATTATGGCTGGAGCTGAACTCTGTAGGACATTGGCCCTCTAGCAGGAGGTCTGGACTACCTTAAAATCAAGGGAAAGGAGCAGGTTGATAAGAATATACGGTTATGGCTTAACACTAGGTATAATCTAATTGGTTGATGGGATGTTGTTCTAGGACCAACAACTTGGTGATCCAGGAACATCCTATTTGGCTAAATTACAGTCACTAGTGTGGATTTGATCCATGCTGTAATTCCTACCTGCATTAGAGAGTATGGTGGAGGGGCGGGGTAAATCATGTGGCTGCAATCCCATGAAGCTTGAGCCAGGCGATCGGTTCAGAAACTCAGGCTTAAACCCAAAGTCTAATTTATGTGGCTCAATCTGCATCTGCTTCTGTAACCCCAGAAATAGAAAATGGTTACAGATAACTTGTCCAAAACTAGATATATTTCACATCTTGAAAAAGAACAATCATTTATTTTGCTCTTACCTTAATTTTTTGCTGATGATGGTAAAGTTGCCATGCAATGTGGACATGCATTGCACACCACTTCCCAGGTTTCTGAGGAAAATGTAAAAAATAATGAATGATGGGTAAAGAATTGAGTTTCTGATTTACAAGTTTAATAAAAAGGAGTTGAATAATCACATGCAAATCTTACCTTTGGTTTAGTACACATGGGGTCAAGAAGCTAAAAAAAAAAAAGACAAAAATACGTTACATTATCCTTCTTATATTTCTTCAATGATAGACAGAACAGCTGTAAATATTTCTTAGACCTGTATGGCTCAGATTTTGACCCATTAGAGAAAAGCCTTGCAACTGACGCTAAATTGAAACTTACTCTAGAGTCCTTCTGTAAAAGTTGGTGTGCCACTGATCCTGGTCTTGACACCACGTCTAGTGGGTTGGAAGCCTGCAAATACAAAATTTGTGAATACTGCATCCATTATTTATTTAAATTATTCTCATGATCACAAATCCATAAGATGCCCTGTTCTTCCTCTTTACACATTCTCTCTTATATACAGTGGTGTGAAAAAGTGTTGGCCCCTTTCCTGGTTTCTTATTTTTTTGCATGTTTGTCACACTTTAATGTTTCAGATCATCAAACAAATTTAAATATTAGTAAAAGATAACAAGTGAACACAACATGCAGTTTTTAAATGAAGGTTTTTATTATTAAGGGAAAACAAAATCCAAAACTACATGGCCCTGTGTGAAAAAGTGTTTGCCCCCTAAACCTAATAACTGGTTGGGCCACCCTTAGCAGCAACAACTGCAATCAAGCGTTTGCGATAACTTGCAATGAGTCTGTTACAGTGCTGTGGAGGAATTTTGGTCCACTCATCTATGCAGAATTGTTGTAATTCAGCCACATTGGAGGGTTTTCGAGCATGAACCGCCTTTTTAAGGTCATGCCACAGCATCTCAATAGGATTCAGGTCAGGACTTTGACTAGGCCACTCCAAAGTCTTCATTTTGTTTTTCTTCAGCCATTCAGAGGTGGACTTGCTGGTGTGTTTTGGATCATTGTCCTGCTGCAGAACCCAAGTTCGCTTCAGCTTGAGGTCACGAACAGATGGCCGGACATTCTCCTTCAGGATTTTTTGGTAAACAGCAGAATTCATGGTTCCATTTATCACAGCAAGTCTTCCAGGTCCTGAAGCAGCAAAACAGCCCCAGACATCACACTACCACCACCATATTTTACTGTTGGTATGATGTTCTTTTTCTGAAATGCAGTGTTACGTTTACCCCAGACGTAATGGGACACACACCTTCCAAAAAGTTAGGGCCATGTAGTTTTGGATTTTGTTTTCCCTTAATAATAAAAACCTTCATTTAAAAACTGCATGTTGTGTTTACTTGTGTTATTTTTGACTAATATTTAAATTTGTTTGATGATATGAAACATTAAAGTGTGACAAACATGCAAAAAAATAAGAAATCAGGAAGGGGGCCAACACTTTTTCACACCACTGTAAGTAATAAGTGTGGCTAGTCCAACCCTTTTCTTATTTTTTCTGCTCTTTCTTTGTGGGAGGTCATCTCAACTCAACTCAGTGTTGTTAAGGCCTTTTAAGAATGCTGCGTTTTGAACAAAGCTAAGAGACAGAGTGGCAGGCAAACCTTGGGCTGAAAAGCTCCCTGGAGAGAGCTGAATGGTCCAGCAGGTGGAACCATAGGAGGTATTCCAGTCATTACTGATGGATAGGACGGGACCAACTGTAGCGAAACAGCGGAAAAATGTCATTAATGTCAGGAAACAAAAGTCTGTTCATGCTGATTTAGGCTGTTTCTGGCCTTTAACGTGAAATCAAAATTGACCCTATTTAAGTAAAGCACATTGTTGAACTCAAGTTTACATCTCAAAGTTCAGTTTTTTTTAAGCTTCTGTCACTGAATAAAAAATTCAAAAGGTAATTGTGACTCACAATTAAAGTTTTGTCTTGTCTTAGAATTGCGAGAAACAAAGTCAGAATTGTGAGATATAAATGCAGAGTTATGAGATATAAACTCGTAATTAAGAGGGAAAAGTCCGAATTGTGAGATATAAACTCAGAATTCTGACTTTTTTCTTGAAATTCTGAATTTACAGCTTGCAATTCGGACAGTTTTTCCTCACAATTTTTAGTTTACATCCCACAATTCTTTTTTTTTTTTGCTTCCTCCACAGAATAATAAAATAAAAAAGGTAATTGCAACTCTCAATTCCACCTTTTTTTTCTTGCAATTGCAAGTTCTCAGAATTGCAGAAAAAAAAGGGTCAGAATTGTGAGATACAAAGTCAATTACCTGTTTTTTTTTGTTTGTTTTTTATTCCGTGGCGGAAACAGGATGAATCAGTAAAAGAAACATGCCACTCAAATCACAGGCCATGATGTGTACAAGATATATAACTTACACTGTGTCTATGGAAGGTGTCCACTTTAGCGGGGTATTTGTCAAACTGCAAGAAAAGAGAAAAAGAGATATTTACCTTAACTTAGAATTTCAGCTCAAAACATTGATTATTATGAGTGCTGATTATGAGTATTTGTCCTCACTTGTCTGGCAGGGGTACGCACCAGTGGTGCTGCTGGGTTGGGCATGATGGAATGGGAGAAGGGAGAGAAGGTGTGTTGATGTGTGTGTTGGTGTGTGTGCTGGTGCTGGTGGAACTCTGTGCGCAGGTAGGCCGGGGGAGCTAGAGCGCCTCCTCGATCGACAGTCTGGGAGGCCAGGAACCGAGAGTTTAACTCCTGCCGCAGTAGGTCATGATCTAAAGGGAGCGCGACAGAGCGAATCAGAGCACAGCTAGCAAATATGTGATTTATTTTTTCAGTCCGTTTGGTGCTGCTGTACCTGTGTAGGGAGCTGTTGATGGTGCACTGGGCACTGGCAGAGCACTTCCTGTTAAGAGGGGAGGAGGAGGAGGCAGGGCTGTCGTCGGGGCAAACATGGTGAGGTGCTCTTCTTTACTTGTGCTGATGCACTCCAAGTGCACAAAAGTGACTACAAACAGCTTTTCCCTTCAGGATTCCTTCAGTCTTTCTTGGGTTTTAAATGTCTCCTCCTTGTGGCATGGTGCTCACTGTTTTCTGCTCTCGCATTTGTGGTATTAGCAACATCAGCAAGACCTGCAGGTCAAAAAAATATTGAGTCAACACACGTTATATTAGGCCAGATGATAATTCGAGAATCATCATACCAAACATAGTGATTCAGTCACTTTGAGTACAAGATTACGTTGCTAGCCTTGGCAAAACTCACTGTCATAATGCTACACTCTGTGCCCACTTCAATCTGTGAAGTCATGACAAGTTTTTACCTGTTTTATCATTTAAAATTTGAACATTGTTAGTTTGATTACTTGATGGGTTTAATTGAAGAGTATACTATACATTTACTGGAGCTCACGGTAGGTCTGTAAAAGTTTATAAAAATGAAAAGAAAAAAAATTGAAGCTAAAAGTCCCTTATGAAAAAAAAATTAATGCAATTTTAACTTCTGGTACCCAACTTTTGTGCTCAATTCCTGATTAAAATGAACTCCTCTCTTTCATTTTTTCTTGCTGAATATCCTGTTTCAGTAATAAATATGCCACATTGTAGAAGAAAAATGGGTTACAGTTCACACCGACATTAATAAGCATTCTTGGACTATTACCTCACACATTTATGAGCAATGATTAAACTGCATAAACTAATTGAAGTAATAGTACTAACCAAAAATCTGAAAAATGAACATACAATACCACTCAAAATTTAGGGCCAGTAAGATTTTTTTAATACTTTTTTTCAGTAATGATGCATTAAATTGATCAAAAGTGATACTTTTATAATACTACAAAATATTTGTTTTAAATAAATGCTGTTCTTTTGAACTTTACATTTATCAAAAAATTCTGAAAAAAAAGTAGCAAAACATTTTTCAACAGTGATAAGAAATGTTTCTTGAGCAGCAAATCAGCATATTAGAATGATTTCTGAAGGACACTGAAGACTGGAGTAATGATGCTGAAAATTCAGCTTTACAATCACAAAAATAAAATACTGTTATTTTAAAAACAGTTATTTTAAATTGTAATAATATTTCTCTTTTTACTTTAGTGAGAATTAGAGAATTCACTCAAGAACATTTAAAAAAATCTTACCGCCCCAAAACTTTAGAACAGGAGTGTATTAACAGTGGCACAGCACACACAATGTTGCAGTTATTGTGTCAAAGCAAAGACAACAGTGTAAAATGAGGGAAGCAGATCTTAAAAATAAACAGAGTAGGATATCTCTATTTTTACAGCATTAGCCTTTTCATGACTGCCATACCGTAGATGATGTTTTGGTTTCACCGTGACATTTACTGATCCCTCCCAGGGGGAGCGCTAATAGTGAATGCAAATGTGATGAAGGGGTGAAATCCCTTAGGGATTCGCCCATCTATACAACCTGCAATTACCTCCTTTTGAACAGCACTCATGCACATAAAGCAAAGCAGTAAATCTCTTTTGTGTAGAGCTGTCAATTTGGGCCTTTTCTCCAGTGCTGCTGGATCTATAGTGAAAGGTCTTTTGAGAGCCCCATAATGGATTGCTAGCTTCTCCGAGGGGTTAGACCTCCTTTCGCGAACACCAGGGGTCCACGGAAGAGGGCAACACAAGGAGCAACTTATTTGCCTGAACTGAGCTCCAAATCCCTTGTGATGAACTGTTTGTATTGAACAGGATGACACAGCCACAGGGGTCATTCAAACGCTGGGAACAGTAAATGTGTGTGGAGAAACGGACTAAACATGAATCCCAAAAAGTTTAAAAGTGCTTGCAGAATGCAATACTTCATAAACTTCCAGATCCGTAATGAGATGAATGCTGGCGGAGACCATAAGTCTCCAGAGAGGAGAACAGACTAGTCGGTAATGAGTGCTACAGGCCACATGGCACAACTCAATAGCTGGACTGGCTACAGACTAATTGAGTAAAGCTAAATAATAAGCACAGAGAGTCCTTAATAGACCCTTGGGTCATAATGGTGCTGGTGTTTAAATCTATTTTGCATCCCGTTTAATCAAAAGAACAGCGTGTGCTGATGTTCCCTACCATCAGACGACGCAATAGCGAAGAAATGAAAATGTTTGGCTCGTGCTTTTAAGACTGGTTTCGCTTAAACTGCTTGTTTTCAATTAGTGTCATGGCACGGTAATGCTCTATTTTGATGCAGGTCAGGAATTAAGCTAAGCCTCTTTTTGGAGCTGTCAGGCCACCAGCGCATTTGTCTTCCTGTGTCAGTTGGCAGATCCCTTCCCCGAGCCATTTTTGTCATTCATCAAGCCCATTACTGGCCTAACCCTTCCAGGCATGCAGAAACGAATGGTCTAATCCCTTCATTCTCACAAAAACAAGATTAGCTGGAGGTTAAACACTCGTGTTCTTTACATTTTGTCCTTGACAGGGTGCCAGGGGAAAGCTCTTAATCTCGTGAAGGAGCAGTTGGAAGGAGCTTTGTGTGCATACAAAAGTAGACAAGTGCGGCTCAGGCGGAGCGCAGGTAAGCCCTCCTAAAAACTCCTCATAATCTTCGAAGCATGCGCGTGTTTACCGTAGCCGTCCCGCTGCGGTTTGCACTCGCAGATGGTGGGAGACGTCTCATAAATCATCCGGTGGCATCGAGGGCCACGTGCGTTATTGCTAGGGCACAGTTGGCAAATGACTCAAACTGAGAAACAGTTGTTCTTGTGTGCTGACAGGTTTCCACATGGTTTTTAGCCCGCTGTGAACGAAGCCCACTCAGCAAAGGTGCATCTGTTCGGCTGCACCTCTTTGACACTTCAACAATCTCGACAAGAAGAAACCACTATGTGGTTGGATTTCATCTGTGTTGGTTTGTATCGTTGACGTGTGCTAAGACAAACACTCAAACTTCTATATTCAGGATTAGTCATCAACTGAAAACAGCTAAAAAAGCTCCTACCTCTAGGTTTCTGCACTCTAATAGGTCCACACCCCAGAATCGTGTAGGAATCCACTAGAAATGTGTCGTTGCAGTCGGTCCAGGCTGTAATCTGGCAGGTTTAGAGAGTTGTCTCTGGTGCAGCGTTCAGCAGGCGTTCAACAGCTCTTGAATAACACACGGGAACAGTATCTCTCTGTATTCTCAACTTGCCAGTCTGTCTGCAGGATCACAGTCTGTGGTGTTGGGTATCACACAGACTAAGCGAACACTTCCTTTATGGCGGTGCTCTCTCTCTCTCTCTTTCTCTCTCTCTTGTTTCCAGTTAATACATCAAAGCAGAAGAGATTTTCATGCTTACTCTGATTTTTATGGATCAAATCAGTAATACGGCTGATTTTTGGCTATGAAAGTGGGATTCTACACAGTTTTTTTTTTTGTTACAGTATTTTTATTTAACAAAAAAAGGCAAGAAATAAACACTACTTGGCAGCAGTTCACCAAATGCCAATGACGTGTTTTCTGTGCTTTTTATAGGAAAAATTAGATCTCTGTAATGTCTCAATGGTTTCTTCTATAGCAAAACAGGTGCACATAGAGGTTTAGGTTTTGCTTTTCACATTTTTCTTCTTAGAAAAGACTTCAATAATCTCACATGTGCTTCATGAGTTTCAGAAGAGATCTCAACGATGTCTCAACAACAGTTCTTCTATTTGCCAGATACCAAAGATTAAACACCATTTTTTGTTTAAACTTTTCTCATCAAAATTTTCACATTTTTCTGAGCTAGGGAATATATATATATATTGACAGAAATGACAGAGTAAACTCTTTTGCAGTTTATTTCTCTTTTGCATTTTATTTTAATTTTTAAATAAACATCTAAGAAACGGTTTATAATTAAATGGAATGTAACTGAGATGTTCATTACATCTCATGACCTATAAAAGTGTATTTCCTCTGGGATGAATGGAACTGGTAACACTTTATTTTAAGGACCAATTCTCACTATATTAGCTAGCTGCTTATTAGCATGCATATTACCAGCATACTGGCTGTTTGTTAGTACTTAAAAAGCACATATGAATGCCTAATTCTATAAGACCATATTTTAGATCCCTTAATCCTACCCCACCTAAACTTAACATCTGCCTTACTAACTATTAATGAGCAGCAAATTAGGAGCGTATTGAGGGAAAACTCTTAATTATTAGTGAATATGTGTTCCCTATTCTAAAGTGTTACCATGGAATTATGTATAATAATCTCATCTTTTCAGAAAATATTTCCACCGCCTCCTGCATTTCTCTTAAAGCTGCTTTGACACAATCTGTATTGTTAAAAGCGCTATATAAATAAAGGTGACTTGACTCTTCAGTTTTAAAGCTTTATATCCAAATAGCTTGTACAAAAGTGCAATTCCTCCTCCAAAACCTCATTTCATCAGCCATATACAGCATATGACAGAATCAAGCCATATTTGAGCAAGTCATCTCTTGTTATTAACGTAATCCCTTCACAAAAGATGATGAGAAAGGCCAGTTCAGGACACAGGCTAAGGATGTATAAATTGCTGTGAGCAAAACGACTGCGTTCTCCCACAGTCAGTACAATAGGAGGTGGTGCTCGGCGTAGACCTGTTTCATTATTCAGCACTCAGGTTTCGTTCAGTCTGGTATTAGTGATGGGGATGTAGGCCAGCCATGCACACAATGTCTCCAGATGCCTGTGTTGTACCTCCCGCTTCTGAGAAACCGAGCCCATGGAGCGCCAGTTAAACAATCAGCGGCGTGGAGGACGGTAGAGACTCGGTTCTTCAGCTAAATAACAGACTCGTAAAGCTACTTCACTGATGATAAAAGGCTCGTTGTGAGTCTTATCACAGTGGTCAGTCACGGCTGTAACCTGTGAGAGCTGGGGGCAAAGTGAACGCTAAAGTTGGATAGTGTTTATTTGAGTTGTGCTGAAAGCTCCAAACAGTCAGCTGTCTTTGCTGATCTCTCAACAGCGCCGATCTCGGCTATACACTATCCCCCGATGCTTGGGCCCGTCCCGGCTCGGGTTACCCTGCGAACAATGCCAACTCTGTTCTGATTGCCTATCTCACAGACTTCGTTGTACTAACATGTATACCTATGTCTGCAACGGACGGGATGAACAGATTATACTATGGCCTTGAATAGTTTAATTTCTTCTTTGAAAGTGATCATGCCTGTGAAATGCATTCTGGGCCCTGTATACCATATAATCTTAACACAGCCTTAACAAGCATCGCCGGAACGTGAAAAACCCGCTATCCAGGCCAGTCACTGCACATCGGCCAAAATCGTGGGCTGAAGCAAAGACAGCTCTGTGAATAGCAGTTCAGTTATTCCTGGCAGAAACATGTTACGGCTGTGAGTGCTGAGGGAAGCTGTCAACTTTTGACAGCCGAGTGTTGGGCGAGCAGATTACTCAGCTCCTCAGTGATTCTGCTCATATTAGCATTTACAACACACAACCATAACAACAGAAGGTCAAACATAGTCGAGTACATATGGGTGATTCTTCAGTGAGGGAAATGATAATATTAAAGACAAAAAAAAAAAAGCTTTAAAAATCTAGAATATTAGAATTGCTTTAAACGTTTTGTTTTTTAATTTACACTATTGTTCAGAAGTTTGGGGTCAATGAGATTTTGTAATGTTTTTGAAAAAAGCCTCTTTTGCTCAACAATGCTGCAGTAATTTGATCAAAAATACAGTAAATATTGTGAAATATTATTACAATAATATTACTCTTATTATAGCAGTTATTACTTTATTCATTGTCACACTATCCTTCAGAAATCATTTTAATATCCTGATTTGGTGCTCAAGAAACTTTTATTATCAGTGTTGAAAACAGTGGTACTTCTTTTTTCAGTAATCTTCAATGAATAGATATTTCAAAAGAACAGATCTATTTGAAGATCATAAATGGCATTCATTTGTCAATAATGTATGAATAATTTGTCAATAAAATGTCATAAATTTGTCAAAATGTCAATAATACTTTTTAATTATTTTTAATAAGTATCATTATCAAATTGTTTAATATACAAGTAATTTAATTTAAAAACATTTTATTTTATTTTTTATTGTTTTAAGTTAATCAACTGCTAGTTAACTTCTTGTTTTTGCATTTCCACTGATTTTTTTTAACATTTATGGCAAAAACTGAACGGCATTGCCTTCATGTTTCATTACCACAAAATTGATCATGCACAATAAAAATTCACATCACGCATTATACCAAATTCCAGATGATAAATGGTTTCATGTTTTTCACTGACCCTAACTAAAGATTCACCCATATTCAGACTATAAATGTCATCAGAACTGTATTGTTGCTTCTAAAAATACACACATTCAAAGGATTAGAAATATGATGTGTGTCATTCGAAGAAGTAATGTCTAATTCAAAACTCAATTTGGAGAAGCATTTGGCAGAACGCTGAGAAATAAAACAGACCCTGAAAGCTGTCTAATCCCCCTATGATTGAGACAAGCATCCTTTAACTCAATTGCATTAAGATGGCTTAAGGTTTAATAGGCTTCTCAAAGCATTGCTGCACTTTGTGTTCACATCCTTCTGTTATCTTAGACAGCCAATCATAGTGCAGATTTAGCTGAATAAAAGTCTAAAAATCCATTCATTTAAAAGCAGTGCTAAAACACAAAGCCTTATTGCACATGAGGAGGTCTGTAGTGTACACAGCAGCAGTTTGACCCATCGGTCCAGTGAAACTCCAGCCCAGAGCTGGTGGCCAAACCCTGGCCCCTGCTGAAAAATGTGCTAGACAGGAGCCTCCAGAGCAGCCGCACTGACTTAAAGAAATAAATTCCATTAACTACTGCTGGGGCCTGTATGAAAGTAATCTGGTTAAGTTCTTAAGTGCCTCTGATTTGATTTCAGCACTCTTAAGAAGCAAAAACTGCATGAAGTAAATGGTGATGAGTGACATTTGTGGTTTTCATGAATGCTTCATGACTTAAATGTGTAAGTGTGCCAATAAAAATAAATGCATGACAGAGAATGTCTTGTTAAAAAAAATCAGCAAGGCTAAAGTGTTTTTGGGCAGGCTGGCTGGCTGTGGAGTGATTGACAATCTATCCAATTAAGGGAACGATTACCTGCACGTACTTGGCCTGAATGCACCCACCTCCTAAGTTATCAAGAGGCTAATTGGCTCTAAGGGTATTGCGTTTTACATCCTTGTACTCAATCCAGAGGATTTCTCATCATGCCATCTGCCTAATGCAAGTATAACATGTCTTTTATATGTTTTGTTTTGTGATTCATCATATTACAGAACGGAAATATCATGATGCTGTGAACCTTTAAATGTGGAAACATTCTTAGCCTATAAAAACAAAGTAATGAACTGCACCTATCAAATAGCTAAAAATATATAACAAGCTTTAACATCCGGAAGGTTTGTTTATATTTCTTGTGACAAGGTTTATATATGCACCATAAATCACAGCATGTGATCTAACTGAATGCAACAGCAGTTCAGCTGCATAAGTCACTAGATTTATTGCCAATACATAAGAGCTAAACACAATATAAAAGAAGAGTCAAAGTAGACATAAAAATGCCCATTAGAGGTTCTCAGAGGATTCTGCCTCAAGTGATGTGATGACACTATCATTGGTTAATTGAGTCTATCTATCAAACCTATCAATATGTGTTAGATATAATGCCTGCTAATGAATTCTTGTCCAGGGAAGCAAATAAAAACAATACTAAAGGCATATTTAGTAATGGGGATGTTATGAAATGTGACCAAAAATAATGGAATTTGAAGAGGTTTACATACCTTCATTTGAAGGGGGGGATGTCTCTATTTGTCAGAGCAACCTGCAATATTAATAAGTTTCAGTCAAAATTCTGCATTAGCCAACACACAATGTTAACCACAAGAGGACACCGTTTCACCACTGCAAAACCTGACAAGCACTCTTTTAAATCTTTTACTCTTTTAAAGCCCCAATGCTTTCAAAAGAAACACAAAAAATATTTTCCATGCTTCATAACATGAAGCAAACACATGGATAAAATGCAAACACATCAAAAATGTAGAAAAAAGGAAATAAATGATTTTAAAGCGAGTTTCATTTTTTCATAACCACTTGTTCAAGAATTATTGGAGTGAGCTATCCATTTCTTTCTAGGCATGTCTCATTTTCTCTGTAATATCTAAATGCACAGCAAGAACAACCAACCCAAATTCAAATCTTACATTAGTGAAGACCCTTTCATTTTATTCGATTTTTAGAAGCACTTACCCAAAATGCTAATGATACGATGAAAGGAGGATGATAAACTCTCTGGTCCCTCTCAGTGTCATCCAAAATACGGCCAATTTTTGTTTTCAACTATCCAACGCTTTTCAGAGTTCAGTCACTCCAGTATCAGAAGTGTTAAAAAGTTGCTTCCTTGCATGTATAAACAAAAAAGATAGGTCCCTCCAAAATCTAGGAGCTCTGACAAAGTGTTTGTTTTTACCCTTTGAACATGTCCATCCTGAGCCAATCCTTTCCAGAGACTGAATCAGTATCCAGTAAAATCCTCCAAACACAGTAAATGTGAGGCTTTGAGCTCCTTCACCGCCAACAGATTAAGCGCAAATCCAATCAAAGCAGGTTTGTGATCATGCAGGAGATCCTTTCCAGAGCGTGTCCGGCTGCACTCAGCTCGGCTCAAGAATGCTCCCTCAGTAGCGAACCATGCATTCCTGTGACCCCTCCCTCAGCGGACACTCCCACCGCCTCCCACACATCCCTCCTCAGCCCTGAGAGCGGCACCCTGGCGACAGAACAATTACAACACTCTCCTCCTCTCTGCTCAACACATGCGTATAGACAGTCTAGTGATTATGGCCATCCTCTTAATTACAGGCCCAGAATAACCAGAGGGGACAGGCGACAGGTTCACAATGCTGATGAGACACTTCCACCTCGCACCGAAATGGCACTTCACTCTTATTGGGTGACGGTGTCGGCTCCAATTAATGCTTCTGTGCTGGTAAGCCATCATTCTTCTGTAGGGTGAGAAAAGGATAATATGATTTAATGCAGTGGTTGCATTTGTACCTGTCACAGCTTATTATAAACGCATCACATAAATGTGTATATCATGCACACCGTGTTGCGGAATTCTTGGCGAGATCAGCCAATCGCAAAGCTCTTCGTCGGACAGAGGGTTGTGAATGTCAGCAGGAAAAGGCCATGGCGAGATGATAAATCACAAGACGGGATATTATCACAACAGATATATCACGTAATTTATTAGAAGCGTCAACACCCCCATGGGAGGAGGCACATGAAATCTCCTGCACTCATCAGCCTCATGTCTTCCGTTGCTAATGCGGTGTCCTCTCTGAACCGGGGATGGGCTCTCTTGGAGAAATAGCAGAAGACTTCAAAGTCCATGGCCCACCAGGACCGCGGGGAGGTCTCATTCAGCCGTTGCCCCCGTCGGCCCTGAGGGAGTTTCTAATTGCATTTCACAGGCCCTGAACAAAACAAGGCCTTGTTCAAGCAGAAGTTGGTCCTCATGCTGGGACGTAGCTGTGATTTGCGACTCCTCAGCGGGATGTGGATCTTCAGCTTGCCAGAAAAACTGTTTCAGCTTCCTTCTTCTGACTGCACGCACTGGGGTGCTTTCCTTTTCGATCTGTGGGTCTGGAGGCAGATGTGTGGGCTCGAGTTGAAAAATGAATTCAGACCTACACGAGAGATTCCAAATCGTATGCAGGCCATCAAATATCATCAAACAGAAGAAGATTAGGGAGGTTTCTTTTCATAATTTATAAGCTCCAAATAAAAGCCAATGTACATTCTACTGGTTCTAGCTGAGCCTGATGTTATTTATGTGCTTTATTATCCTGACTATGGCGATTTAATGTCTAATACAAGCATAGTCCTTATTTATGAGTACTTCAAAAGAAGTGCATTTTGTTTAAATCAGACACGCAACATGTATGTGTCAGTAAATCTAAAGCTGCATTTGACATTGAGAGCCAGGATATTTCATCTCAGAGTTTGAATGGAAGCGGCGAGATATATGTGATGTTTTGAGATATACAAGCCACATACATTCACTGTTCTGACTGTTCGTAATTCTCAAGAAAACTTGGTTGAATTCAAAACAAACCCTAACTGCAACCACAACCCTTGCTGTAACTGTACCCTTATCAAACCTTAACACTATTTTTATAAGAATTATTTAACACGCAAATAGATTAATTTTTAATCAAAATGTTTGATATTCATAGATCTTTCTGTATCACATGCAAGTTATAAGATTCTTGGATACTGCTGTTTATACAGGTACTACTTTTAACTACCATGTTAATATTTTCCAATACTAGTGCTAATAGTTAGCAATGGTCATTTGACCCAAATCTAAGTATTTAACAGCTTTTATTTTCATGACCAAATAATATCATCAAACATGTTAATTTCCCCCAAACTGAACTTAGTTCAGGATGTGGATTTAAATCACTGAATTATTGCACACAATTTTCCGTCATAATCTCATTTAGACAAAATTGAAATGATCAGAACATTTTAACAGTCCCATCACAGTTTAAGCAATTTCCAAAAACCATAATCATATATTACCAACGCACAGCGTGTACGACTAACAAAATAGTAAATCACTGCTATATTGTATCATCATCATCATCATCATCATCAAAGGCAGAAAATCGGAGTCAGATGCGATTACTGAAAATGAGCTGTGGAACGAGGGCTTATATTAACTCATTCTAAATCATTCTGTGTAATTATGACAAAGAATCGGTTTACGATAGCGTATTTACATCTGTCCCAGCTTTAGCCACACCCCAAGGCCCTAAAAAACAAAGAAATTGAATGAAGAATGAGCACACGCAAGTTTTTTCGTCTGTCTTTTTTTAAACACTGAAAGATTCTTGCAGACTCGCCTCAAAGGCAAAGTCATTAGTGCAGACTTGGCCTGATTGTTTTCACTGATTTTCTGTCTGAAGGAGGAGTAAATTGATGCCTTGGCCCTTCAGCTCCAGTCTGGCTATTAATTTCAAAGAGCAGGTTTGGCCCGATGGCCCTTTGAGAGAAAGCTGATTTAACTAGATAATTTTTAATGGGGATGGATTCCTCCATACTTGCCCTTTGGAATAGCTTCTGTCCTCCATAACCACTGGTCTGTAATGGCAAGCTCCTTCTGAGACTATTACTAAGGTGCAATTGGCCTTGAAATACATAATCTTAATGTACTGGAAGATGTGCGTTTGAAAACTCAAACAAACTGAAACATCCGTTTGCTCATGGAATGGAACGATTCCACACTGCAGGAGTTTTTAGTCCATAAACAGAAATGCTGCGAGAAGCTGCCGATGTTGCGCTGTCAGATCAACGTAGGCTTCGCAAGTGGGCGTACGCAAACTCACATGACAGCCGCTGCTATTTCCAGGGAGAGATAATCAAAGGCATTTGACTTGTGAGAGCCATGGCGAAATACCAATATTCTTGGATTTCAAAGAGTGTCTAACCACTGAATAGGGTTCCCATACGCCCTTTCATTGGGATGACACAATGTTGCATCTGCTCGGCAAGGGATAAATTAAGCATGTGAAAGTTTTAGTGAAATCCCCATTTTCCAGTTAATCAAATCTCCCCTAATCAAATTAGGAGCTGTAATTCCCCAGGATGCGTGTGACAAAAATGTATTATTCCTGCCTTTGGAGCCGCGCGAGACAAATCAGCGTGAGGCCATTCCCCTCTGCTTCAGTGGCCCTGAATTCTTCCCAATGCTGCACAAAAAACACCTCGGACAATGAAGCTTACGTTGATGGCTTCGGGGAAACAATGAAGGCCAAACCTCTAAAAAATGTCATGCACTTGCATATAGAATCATCTTCAATATTACAAAACTGCAGCGATCACCTGTGAGGACTTGTTTTCCACTGAATGAAAAGTCTTGAGGTTTGATTGAGCTGGCACATACAGGGAGCACAGAAAGTGCCCTTTTATACTCGCTTAGCAGGGCGGTAAATAGGCCCATGGAGCATTCGGATGCCACTTATGAAGTGCTCATAACCGTAATGATGTGTACCTCGCGGCTTTGCACAACAGCTTCCTTCCAAACCAATTCATATGGCAGCTAATGAATTTGCCACTTTAGACTTCATGAATTGTTCCTTTCCGTTCACTGCCCCCAGTGTTAACACCTCTTTATACGAATCTTAACACCTACTGCACTGCCTCTCAAGGTCACTCTGGCTGAACGGAGAGCTGGAGAAAGCCGCACAAAACCTGAGAGGCTCAATTCCTATTCATTTGTCACATTTGCATGCATGCCTCTATACTCAATCACACAAAGGCCACGGTAGCTTAGCCATTGTCCCCTACCAATTACAAATGAGTCCATTAAGCTGTCTGCATCGGGCCCAGCCTCTTCATGGTTAATGGCTTGTGAGATTTCCATCATAATCACCGGGCTCCCACTGCAGTCATGAGTGCAGATGGAGGAGGAGAGTGGGTAAAGAGCTATCAAACGGGGCAAAGTGCATTCCTTCAGCTTTGTTTATGTGCAGGCGAACTCAAAAGCCAATGCTTTCTTTAGAACCGAAGCCTTTAAAGATTATTACAAAATTCTCATGTCATTTAAGGAGGTGCACGTGCAAAAACAGGGGCCTTGACACCGAAAAACTGATAACCAATTAATGGTATACGATATTAAAATAATATTTTGTTTAAATAAATCAAAAATAAAAAACTACAATCAATCATTTTAAATGCTACAAGTCAGTTTAGGCATCACAACATTGTAATGTAGCCTACAGTATGAAAAATGGATATTCATTTTGAGATTTAATAAAGATGACATTAGCAGTTTTATCAAATTATTATTTTTTTTACTTAATATTAAATCATTTAATTTAATTATCCTTAAGTGAGATGGCAGCAAAGGCAATCAAAAAGTAAAAATAGGGAAAATTAGCATGCAAAACAAAATCCAATATTGAGCGATATGATAAATAAAAAAATCTCTATATCGGTAGATATATTGTGCATCTCTAAGAAAAGTGACTAGTGCTTACATAACCTCTGCAATATTATCCTGAACTATTAATTAACTTTCATTTTCAATGTCAATACAAAACAAAACCTAATACAGATTATCCTCATTAGTCATTTAATCAAATAATTCTTTATATTTTTTAGACTATTTGTTCAGTCAAATCAAGACAATTGTAGAAATGTCGACAACACTGAAGCAGATGGGATGTTTCTTGTGGTGTCAAATCATTTTCTTCCTTGGTTCCAAAATTAAATGGCAGGGGGTGATTTATGCACCTTCTCTATTAGCGATCTTGGAAGAATAATGTGAACAGCTTTTATTACATGCTGGTTGTTACTCTGACACCTAATTTACAAAGTCTGTTAATGTCTAAAGGGAAATAACAAATCATTTAGGCCAGACAATCAATCCCATAAACATGCATTTATCAAGCTCATTTGTGAAGCCTGACCTAGTTCTTTCATGCCATATAACAGGACAACTCTATAAAGGTCTGTTCAAAAGTGGAGGTAAATCACAGCTCATGAAAAGTCTCTGCATTTTAAAGCAATCTTGACCCTCAAGTATATGTCATTATAGGATTTTACATAAAAAAGTATTAGCAAGAACGCTCTCCAGTTGCCTGCGGGGTTTTACTGGTCCAAAGGTTTTCAGATGAACAATAAGCAAGCCAGTCGTGACTTACAGAGATAGTTCACCCCCCAAAAAATTAGTTTTAGACCC